TTCTGTGTCCTTATTGCCAGAACTAGTCAAAAGACTTTGTATTTTATCAGCAGAGGTGTGCCCAAACTGTTTATGCAGTTTCTCCAAAACTTTCATCTTTTAACTTGTGTTCATCTTGTCTGTTGTAGTCAGTATTTCTTCCTCAGTAGCATCTAATAGCTTATGAGAGTGAGTAGGATTTTTATTTTCACTAGTGTCCACAATGTTCACACAGTAATGACCAGAGCTAGTAAAGTCCAGTTTGACAGGCTGGTTGAACATCATTGCACTGTCCCTTTCCAAAACTGCCCCAGCCCTTTTTTAATTATGTTTTACTCAGAAGCAGTGGAATGTTAGCAGGTACCACTTCAGTTTCTATATTACACTTTTTGTTGCCAATCTTAGCAGGTATTCTTACCTTTTTGATGGAGTGGACGACTCTTCCATCTCCAAACTTAAAGGGCCTGTGACTTTCTAAAAGCATGAGCATGCATCAGGATGGCCTGTGACTTTGTTTTTCTGTCTCTTTCATTGTCTTCACACTTTTTTTTTTGGTAACACAGTACTGTAGTTGTCCAGCCACTCTTGTCCACAAACTGTCCTAGTACAAGCAGTGTCTATTATTGCTGAGCCAAAACATTCTGTCATGAATATTTCTGCATCTGTTGGTGAATCTTTGGTGTATAGAGTTATATTGCACTTTTCCACGTCTGTTGTATCATTGGTTATTTTAACACTCTCAGCTTTGTGCGGACAGACTTTGACCCAGTGAAAAGTACTTTGGCACACTGCACATTTTGAACGCCGTCCATATTTATCCAACGGGTTTGTACCGGGCTGTGGAGTGCTTGTCTGTGGAGTTTTCTGATGAGTATTTTGCCGCCAGGACTTGCCCTTTTGCCACCGTTGCTCTGTTACAAACACGGACTCCTTGTTAATATTTTCTGCTGCCACACTTTTTTTTTTTTGCCAAATATTCCCTTCAAAGCAGACTTCATTGAAGCAAAAGTTATATCTAAACATGCTGTTAGAGCCAACTGTCTGTTCGTCATATCCAAACATGCGGTGTCCAAAAGCTTAAAAGCCAAAACAACGTCGGGTAGCTCCATGTTGTATTTTTTCATGCACGAGTAAAGCTGCTTGAAATCAATAATATAGTCCGTCATCGACATGTTTGCTTCTTTAATGACCCGGTCAAAATTTGAGTACGCTTCATAGACCCTGTCCTTTTCCTCTTTTAGGAACAAATCATCTAGTTTAGCTAACAATGTGGTCATTCCAGTGTCTTTATTTAGATCGTCTACTGGAATTTCCATCGCCATGTCTCGTGCCCTTCCAGACAGCGCCAGGGTGACTGCAAGTGCTTGCTTTTTCTTCTCCAAATCTGTAACTCTCATCCAAATGTTGACTTCATTCTTCCAACTTTCATAAGGCTTTCCTTCTTCAAACGTTGGTGGAACTCTGTAGTTACTAACCATCCTCTGCTACCAATGTTAGTCAATAAAAATAACTTCTCCTTTTGGATCCAATAGAACTCATCTCAGCCAGACTCATAGATGCCACAGAAGAATAGTGTAAAAAATTGTAGTGTGTAGAGGCCTAGTTCACTACAAAATATAAATCGTGTAAAACACCTTAACATGCGCTACTGGCATGACAGTACCCCCTAGTGGATTGGCATGTAAACTAAATTAAACAAAGGCATAACACAGCACTTAGATCAGCAAAAGCAGTAGAGATGGGATAAGTAGAATCCTGTTTTTCCCTTTAGCTCTTTTCTGCAAGGTCATTGATCTCATTTAGTACTGATGGCACTGATTAGTCTTTGTAAAAATATAGTAGAGTGCTGTATGAATGGGTAACTGAGGGCACAGATTGTAGTGTAAAGCACCTTGAGTATCTCAATAAGATAGAAAGGCGCTATATAAGTACAGTCCATCCATCCATCCATCCATTATCTTTTACCTGCTTCTTCCATTTTGGGTCACAGGGGTCGCCGGTGCCCATGTCCAGCAATCACTGTGCGAGGGGCAGGGTTCACCCTGGACGGGTCGCAAGACCGTCACAGGGCCACATGGAGACAAACAAGACAAACAACCATTCACTCTCTCACTCACACCTAGGAACAATTTAGAGTTACCAGTCAGGTTAACATGCATGTTTTTGGTCTGTTGGAGGAAACCAGAGTACCCGAAGAAAGCCCACGCATGCACGGAGAGAACATGCAAACTCCACCCAGAAATGCCCCCGGACCGAGATTTGAACCAGGGTGTCATGGTCAGCGGCCCCTGCTGACCCCCCCATCAGCCCCTGTCGCACACTCACATCCCCATCATGTCATGTTTTCTGCTCCTATTTGCCATGCTGTTTTTCTTTTCTGTCATTAGCCACACCCCCCTCTGCACTTTCAGCTCATCATCCCTGATTCACTGCACCTGTTTGCCTTATTTAAAGAGTTCCACTTTCACTTGTCCTTTGCCGAATTATTACACCACTCATGGTCCCTGATAGTAAAGGCTTCATCACAGTATCTTGTTCCATAGTTTTGTATCCTTGCCTTGCCTTGTCTTGCATTGAACCCTTGCCTGTTTTTTGACTCCTCGCCTTGTCTTGCCCCTTTCTGGATTTGTCTGCATATCTGACCACAGTAACAACTCTTGCTCTCCCTTTACTACTCTTTTGGATCACGACTCGGCCCTGTTCTCGCTTTTCTGCTTCTATGTGCTTGACCCCCGCTACGACCATTGGACCACGTCTCTGGATTTCACCTGCCACATACAGACTGAGAAGGTTAGTGACTTTAACTATTATCACAGTATCCCCTCGTCCTCACCAAAGTCACTAACCTCTCTGTCTTTTAAGATTGGACTCCTGCCTTGGACCCTGACTCCAGCAATAAGCAGCATAACAAATAAAAAATTGTTCTTGTTTTTGCACTACTGTGTCTGGCTTATTCTGAATCTTAAACCCTGGTCCGTGACACAGGGACCTGCTCGCTGAGAGGCAGCAGCTCTACCAGTTGCGCCACCGTGCTGCCCCAGTCCATTTACCATTTATTTTATTTTATGTATTTATTTTGGAGCAAGAAACCACCAAAGCTGTGCACTCAAGACCTACCGAGATCCAGGTTTCTGATTGGATGGCTCTACCTGGACAATTATTGTCAGAAATCTGAATTTTTAGGTTCAGTATGAAGTAGATGATTCCTTTCAGCATGGCTCGTTAGAGAAGTGAATTCTACTCATCTGGGAGCATTGAAAACCTGACTATTCTGACCTCTTCACCCTTCCACTTCTAGTTACATTAAGAATGACAGTTGCTGCCTGTCTTAAAATCTGGGTTTATTTTAGCCTAACTTTGGCCTACAGGCATGCTCTGTTGGGACTCTGATCACTGGGAATCATATTCTCCCTCTATCTTTGTTTGTCTCTTGTTCTACAATATATATCTGATTGATTGATTGATTGATTGATTTTTATTGTCAATTCTGCATATGTACAGGACATACATAGAAATTGAAATTGCGTTACACTCCTACTCAATTTGCAGCAAACAACAACATTAGCAAAAATAAACTAACACAACGGCAGCACGGTGGCGCAATTGGTAGAGCTGCTGCCTCTCAGCGAGCAGGTCCCTGGTTCAAACCCCGGTCCAGGGGCCTTTCTGGGTGGAGTTTGCATGTTCTCTCCGTGCATGCGTGGGTTTTCTCCGGGTACTCCGGTTTCCTCCCACAGTCCAAAAACATGCATGTTAGGCTGATTGGTAACTCTAAAATTGTCCCTAGGTGTGAGTGAGAGAGTGAATGTTTGTTTGTCTCGTTTGTCTCTATGTGGCCCTGTGATGGACTTGCGACCCGTCCAGGGTGTACCCCGCCCCTCGCACAGTGATTGCTGGACATGGGCACCAGCGACCCCCGTGACCCAAAATGGAATAAGCGGGCAAAGAAAATGGATGGATGGATGAAACTAACACAACTAGTTATATAAAAAAATATAAAAAAATATAAAAGTGAACAGCAGCAGGACCTCTGATGCAACGTGCTCAATAGTGACTAACAGGAGACAAAGGGACGCTGACTGAAGACAATAACATGATGAGAGGTAGATAATGGATGTGCAAGGCCAGAGTAAACAATAGTGCAATATAAAGTATAAACCTGAGAAACTTAGTAAAGTGAAGGTGTGCATACCGGTTCTATATAGTCACAGTTATGTACTGATGAGGTGATTAAGTGGAAATGACAATACCAGAATTACCAGAATAAAGAATAAACAGCTCATCTGCAGCTCATCCTCAGAACTTCTGGCTGTCCCTATCCCCTCTCATTTCTAAAGTGTTTCTTCCATCTCTCCCCTTACTGAGAGGGTAAATTATTTTTACAAGAATATTTCTAACCATCTGCGCTGCCCTGCTACTTAGGAGCTGCAAGAAGTGTTAGTGATGGAGAACAAACAGAATCCCAACAATACCATTTGCAGCTCTGCTGGTCAGAAGAGTAATATTGCCAGATTGGAAAGTGCTGGTCTAGCTACAAGCTGGATTCTAAAGGTCCTTTATTTTCTAAAGTTGGAAGAAAAAAAAAATCAGGCAGGCCTTGGCTAAAAAGACTGGATAATTTGAAATTACCTTGGGTCCCTTTTTGTCCTGTGCTGGAGGTGGAGGGTGTTGGATTGTTCTAGACTGAACATTACAGAGGGGTATTTTTTACTTAATTTCTTTTTGTATACAGTACTTCTCTTTTGTAATGGGTTAACAAGTGGATTGTTGTTTTATAATGTACAATTTAAAAAAGATGGTTTTAAGAAAAACTATTGAAAAGATAAGAGATTACAAAATAAGTCATTGTGTACTATTCCCAGTTGAGCTAAATGTTGCAATATTCAAATGTTTAAAATATCATAACATATGTGAAAGTAATTTGATTGCAAAAGGCATACAGAAGAAACCATGAACAAGAAAACAAATGTGTGTATGCTGACTCGGGTATCACACGTCACTCGGTCTCTGCATCCCAACAGGTGTGGTGTGTTGGCAGCGGCGGTGACAACCAGATGTTCAACAGGACTGTAGATGGAAAAACACTGTCCACAGTGTTCCAAGGCCTGAAGCCCGGTGTGCTCTACCAGGTGGAGGTGGCAGCCGTGACCAACGCCGGTGTGGGCATGCGCAGTCAACTGGTCTCTGTTCTCATCAGTGAGTCTGCTCACACACTATCAGTTTAACGTTTGGAACAGCTATTGGATGGACTGGTGTCAAAAAGGTTTCAGATGTTTATGTTTCCTGTGGCATTATGGGTTTATTAACCCAGTAATTTAAATAATCACATTCATGTGAAAGAGCACGACAATAGTTAATATTAAACCTCTACATTTTTGTAGGACACCATGCGTTTAGTATGTCACTGTTTTCCCAGGCTAATTGTTTTAATGTGTACTGAGCATAGACCGTTATATGAGGCTGTTAATGTATCACATATTTATATTGTTCTCATAAAAAATGTTTTACAGTCCTTGTAATGGCCTTAAAGTACTCACTATTGATAACTATTTGACAGAACATAACACTAAAAATCAACAGGTTACCAAGGTAACTACACCGGAGTACAACCATTAATGAAATGTTTTCATTAATTCATTCAACCTTTATTTCTACAGGTTAGTCTCATTGAGCCTCGAGGACTCATTTACAAGAGAGACCTGATTTTAACAAAGAGTGATGACAACAGTAGTCAATCATAAAAAAAGCATATACATTGAAAAATAAATGGAAGAAAATGATGTTAAAAACAAAAATTCTCTAGCTAATGAAAAATGTCCTTTAGTGGAATTTATTTTGTAAAACACAAGTTAAGAAAGTAATATCCTGATGCATGCTCAATAATCCAGGTAGAAAAATCCAAAAAAGTTCAATCTGGTCCTCTGGACATTCAAAAAAAACAAAAAACAAAACAAAGCAAAAAAAATCTAGAAACGTTTCGTCTCCCATCCAAGAGACTTCCTCAGTCTGAGGTGCTGTTTTCTAAACATAACGTCCCAGTGGCTTTTAAACCCCAAAATACATTACGGCAAAGACTGGTTCATCCCAAAGATCAAGTCCCCCGGCACAAACAGAGTAATGTTGTGTATGCTGTTCAGTGTCAGGAGGGCTGTGATCAGTCTTACATCGGGGAAACTAAACAGCCACTGGCCAAAAGGATGGCCCAGCACAGAAGATCAACGTCATCAGGCCAGGATTCTGCGGTCTACACTCATCTCCAGGCCAGCGGCCACTCTTTCAAGGATGAAGATGTTCACATCCTGGACAGAGAGGAACGATGGTTTGAGAGAGGAGTAAAGGAGGCCATCTTTGTGAAAAGAAATCGTCCATCATTAAACAGGGGTGGAGGCCTCCGGGTTCAACTGTCCCTCTCTTACAATGCTGTGATTGCTAGTATCAGTCAGCCCTCTGTGAGTAGTAAACAGCCATCAGTGTGCTAATGACCCGTTGTTAGGCTGATGGTCCTTCTTGAGCATGTGATCAGCTGGTTTTGGTTGTCAGCAGCAAACTGGTTGATCCACTCTGAGAAGGTGGTATTTAAGAGACTGAACTGAATACAGCACCTCAGACTGAGGAAGTCTCTTGGATGGGAGACGAAACGTTTCTAGATTTTTTTGCTTTGCTTTGTTTTTTGTTTTTTTTTGAATGTCCAGAGGACCAGATTGAACTTTTTTGGGTTAAGAAAGTAATATTTTGCTCTTCTCTTGGGGTTGTTTTTGTTGCTTTAGATCTGCCAACAGATCAAGTGTTGACACCAGGTGGGGGGGAGGCCAGCGGCAGTGAGGAGAGCAGCGTGAGTCTGGCTGAGCAAATCACTGATGTGGTCAAGAATCCGGCGTTCATTGCGGGTGTCGGCGGTGCCTGCTGGGTCATCCTCATGGGCTTTAGTGTGTGGATCTACTGTCGCCGCAAAAAGAGAAAGGAGCTCAGTCACTACACTGCCTCATTCGGCTACACACCAGCAGGTCAGGATGAACAACTAACTTGTTAAAGTAACTAACCTGAGGCTCTGTGCTTTTTGCTTCTTTGGAAGACAATTTATAGAAGCTCTGGAAAATACACATGGAGGAAATATCTTGATTCAGCCCAGAGGCACTGCATTTGTGTTTTTAAGAGCTAGACTGACTTTTACCAGTAAAAAGTAAACGTTGTGGGCATCATAATATGGTTTCACGAAGGCTAAAGTTTAACCCGAGTATTAAATAACTATTTAGAGTGTTTCACTCTACAAAGTTTATTTTGTGGATCCTTTCAAGAAAAAAATCATTCAGGTTTAACAAAGAATAGAAAGAGATTATAAACATAGAGGACTTTACCGTCATGTGAAGTGTTTTTCTGTCTTCTTGCAGTTGGTTTTCCTCATGGAGAAGGATCAGGACTCAATGGAAGGTAACACTCACTTCCTGCAAACACATTCGGAAGATCACCTGCAGGGCAAGAGTGACACTCATTTTTAACTTTGAAATTTCATGCCTCATACCAGCCTATTTAAGTTTGCAATCACCTCTCTCTCGCACTCTCTCTCTCTCACTATATATATGTATATATGTATATATATACAGGCACACATCC